CACTAAACTAGCTTATGCTAATTAATTCGCCCCATTACAATCACTGCCAAAACATTACTGTACCTTCTCTCGAGTCGCAGTGCGGTTACGGTAGAGGGTTACAAAAATGCACTAATCACAGAAACGTAATACATCAAGTAGTCTATCATTTGTGTGGTTTACTGTCTGTCACCTTATTGTCAAACAATAACGGTAACCATGTGATCAGGCTCACCTGATGTATTTGTTGATCGGTTCGAACACCGGCGGCACAATTTGCGATCACTGTATTAACTGTTTTGTGTTCCGTTGGTAATCTGAAACTCGAGAATTTGCCAGTTCGCATGCGATAATGTTATTAATGGAAATGAGCAAAGGCACAGTTTTCGGTGACGGGGTGATGGGCATTTCGCACTTTTGTTGCTCCACTAATTCCGGTTTTCATACTTTACCTGATGGAACCTAAGAACTCCTGAAGCTGGAGCAAGCTCATCGAGCCACACGTAAAACCTGTCAACTCACAAAAGGTTTTCTAGATGGGTCGATGGGAAGTAGCAAAAGTGCAAAATCCCCCCCCTCTCCCCCACCCGTCGGCGAACTGCGCCATGAGCAAGCTGTGAATGACTCCAAAGCGTGTAAGTTTCCGCAGTACAAAGAACCCTTTGCTGCATTTCAGCGAGGAAGACGCGAAGAAATGTATCTATGATTTATCTGACGCTTGGGCACTGCTGGCGCTAGCTATACAGCCTGACTCGAGTAGAAAGCTCGGTTGGCCCATGGTAATTCAATACAGTGGGTATTCTCCGTATTACCTTCATTCAGGTCCCCGGAAGTGTTTGATTGAAGCTCAGTCTTTTAATTTGCTTTCAAATGATGAGGAGTAGCCGAGCGTATCAAAAGACGCCCACATGGCGTTCTTTTCAAAACACACTACGATTTACGTTTCAAATTGCCACATCTCCTATGAAATTCTATGAGATCTAGTCCTTACAGTACCTTTCGAGTATTTCATCCCATCTTTCCAGCAGGAAATTGAGCATGAACTCTTTGCCTGCAGGATTTCCCGATACAGCAGAGAAGACATAGGAAATATCCTGAAGGCGAACAAACGAAGAGTTTCGATCCAGTGCTAGCAGGAGAAGCCTAAAAGTGGACTACGAATAAACTAGCTAAAAAATGGAATTATGGGTAAAAAGTGATTAAAATTCAACCATTTCCACTTATTTGTTGTTCCAGCGTTTAGTTGTTGCATGCTAACGTCCTTTCCATCTTTTTTATGAAGCCAGATTTCTGCGTAAACTTAGGTTTGATAAAAGAAAACGCAAACGATAGAAACCGACAATTCCGACCGTCTATCATACAGTAGTCGAAAAGCTTCAGAATATTGATTCGACACTCCTAACACAATCTTCGTGGAGTGCCGTATGTATGAATATTTAATACACGCACTTCACGCCTCTTGCCCCAGGTTGGATGGCATCCTCCCCAAAAATATTACGGGAAAGCTGTGTCACCGCCAAAAGCTTAGGCTTGACAGCCCAGGCCCGAACCCGCACCTCATGCTTACTGGGCCCACACATTACACAACTGAAGCAACATTCCGGTCCTCTTTATTTTTAGTGTCAAGAGGGAACCTGCCAAGGAACAAGTTCGAGTCTCATCGACTGCCAAACCTTCCACTCAGACTATATCAGCCAGTGCTTACCCTATGATATCAATTCGAAATGTTGTATAGATTTTCAATCTTTCACTGTTTTTCGTGAGAGATAAATCTGGCTAGACGTGTCCCCAGACGGTACCTGAGTGTCGCATTCGTACAGCGCAAAAACTTCTACTGCTTTTGCCAGGGCACATGCTGTTCGTGTTCCTGTTGTCAAACTATCCCCAGCGACAATGTTTTTCTCAAGGCTCAAGTCAAGTTCTCGATGAAAAGCTTTGATAAATCTGAAACCACAGTACGTCTACGAAAAACTGCTTGGTGCAAACGCTCATTAGAGCCAGCAATACGATAGCTTCCCAAATAAAGGTTTCGCCTCTGAAACGACATTGCTTTCGCGACCAAATCTCGCAATGAACAAGAGAGGGCGACAAACCGTAACAATAAATTCCAGTCATCACACTGTCAATTGATCTAACAAGGGAGGTGTTCGCAAGGTCGTGGCGCGCTTTTCGGAATGGGCTTGTAGCTTTTTGTAGGGGTCCATTACAAGATGCATAAGAATGGTTTCATTTTTCTGCTATGGCATTTCCTGGCGAGCGGCAAAACTGCTGTCGGAAAGGGGTGACGGCGCGGACAAATACATCACTGTGCGTCGGTGCATTGCCCAGCTGTATTACTACATGATACTTACATTTGACTTTATTTGAAGAGCAATTCTGAAGCCCTCATTACGGAACTACACCCACAAACTATGCATCGCTCGAAAGTTACTATCTAGAACCGAAGCCCATTAAGATAGTTAAAATCGCCCATTCTTGTCAAATTTTTTCACTCAGTTCTTGACCTCCCCAGAAACGCATAGCAAAAATGAAACCCATTTTTAGATCCCTCGTATGACCCTAGCAAACCAGCAAACCGTTTTCAAAAAGCGCGCCACGTCCTGAACGACCTCCCTGGTAAGTGTCGTCCTCTAGGGACTTTAAACAGTAGAACTGCCTCTCCACAAAATAGGATTTTTTGAGTTCTTTACGTGGTATAGCTGCAGCTATACCAAGGGATGAAGCTATCGAAATAGAAAACAACGCATAAATGAGTTAGTACACACCTCTGCAAATAATGGACCCCATTGGCTTGAGTAGTGCAATAATCCAGCCGCTCGCAGAAGTTCAAACAGAAATTTTTTCTAGGAAAAAGAGCACACTTACCCTTTGAGAGCTGTGATATCTCTATGACATCCCAACGCTTGAAGAATGTTCCTTTTTTCCAGCTGAACCGTTTCTGCGTAGTATAGTCCAATCATCTTAAGAATGTAACTTTTACAGCTTACCATATGCTGATTGCTTTTCTTACAATCATGTACTTGGTAATTGCTCACTAAAAGCAGTTTTCTTCTCATCCTTCACGTCTTCACGTTATGTAGTACTACCAGGGCACATTGTTGCTGGGGATTCCCCGACAGGTGGGGGTCGTATTGGTCGAAGGAAAATTTATTTTTTCTTGATAGTTTGACTTATGTTGTTTTGTTCGGTACATTGATGAAATGGGGTTCGTATTGTGCTCGTTTGGGAGGTGGGAGGCGGGGTCATTTTCCGTCTCACCTAAGGATGAGTGGGGCTGGGCTGTTCCTAGGAATCTTTTGCCGCTCATGACTTTTGTATTTCCTTCTTGTTTGACATGTGTGTGTGCCCCGCCGAGGGCCCTCGACAATGACTCGATGGAGGAGGGGACCAAGGTGGGGGGTGGTGCCCTCTCTCATCGAGTTATGGGTCGCACGGCCCGAAAAATCGCCAACCAATGATATGCCCTGAGTACTGCTCAGTCTGAAGGTAGAAGTTTGACAGAACCATCCCGCATTTCACACCTACATGCCTTCTACAGTTCTAGTATGTGTAAGCAAATGTATCAAAATCACCTTGTCGAAAGCATCATCTCCGCCTTCCTTTATGCCATAGCAATAAACTTTCGCACGAAGAGGAGCGGCGACGCTAAACGAAGGGCATTAATTCCTTACTGTGAGTTTTTACTACAGAATCTGAGCGCCCTCACTGCCATCGATCTTACCCAAGTTCTCCCAGTACTCTTTCAGAAACCCTGAATGGTTGTTGATAGTGACTCCATAGCGCTGGCTTCTCTAGTTTAGTCTCCCTAATCCCTAGCAGGCCACCACCTTCAACTAAGGTAATGTCGTAAGGGGGAGAAAATAAAAAAAACCGGATTTCAGCAATCAGATGCTGGTTCTCTGGTAAGCTGCAAAACGAGGGAACCAGAGCCGTCATACAAACCGCCACAATAGCCCAGAATAAAGGCAGCACGGAAAGGTCCTCAGCAGGCTTGATGGTCACTTGGTAAGGGTAGCATTAGGCTTCAAATCCCTGGGGAAGCGACCATGAAAACCTCCACGGGTGACAGAAGAAGACACAAGGTGGCAGCGTCTCGTAAGGAAAGCAGATCGCACTAGGTGCTGGAATAACGCAGGGAAAAGAAGGAGGCGCTCTAAGTGCAATATCCATTTCGTTCCATTTCTAGAGGCTGCCGCTGTGCCACATGAGTATTGACTAACAGTCATCCACGAAAGAAAAACCATAGAAACTGCACCTCACGCATTTGCTTGCTTCTTGACCCTTCTGGCACTTCTCCATAACTTCTTCTGTTGAAAATATCTTGATACTTTCTTATACATTCCTTCGATCCAAGATGGCAGTATTCTTCAATAATTGCTTTCTGCAGATTGCTGAAAATGGTGCTCAATTCAATCTAAATATGGACTCGGTCCAGTGGTTATGTTAGTGGTTATTCGTAGAGACTATGCTAAGCCTCATGGCCTTTTCTTTTTCAAATAATCCTCATCTTTCGAAGCTCTTTTTTCACCCTCTGACTTTTTGTAAATAGGCTGTGCTCCGTATGTGCGAGGTGGATCCGTGCCATTCGAAGAGGCAGCAGTTTCAACAATTTGTAACACGATGGGCTCATCGTTCGCCGCTCGAAACGAGCGCCAGAAATAATGCTTGGACTCGTGGTGATGGAAGTATAGACACCGTTTATATTATATCTATCCGCATGTCTGTACGTCTCTTCATCACGGCAACATGCGCGGCAATACCATGTCATCGCAAGCTACATCGTGAAGCCAAGCTTACTTATCGCTATGTATAGAGAAACAGCTCGTCTAACGCGCGAGAACAGGTCAGCACGCATTCGATGGGGATTTTGTCGAGTTTTACGACAGCCCCCCCCCTTGTTTGACGGTCCAATACGGAACCCCCACCCCATAGGAACTTCCCCAACCTAATTCTGTGCCCTGGTCGAGAAAGACACAGATAAGAAGCGCGACCTGGTTAGGCAGTTATAGACTGGGAGTGCGAACGTTATCAGCGCGAGTTTGGCCTGCAGGGAGTTCCGAGTAGCATCCAACTTATCAGTAGGTACATGACTCACTTTTCGAAGAACAGGGAATCGTTTTTGTAGTTTTCGGTGATGAACTGGATACTGCTCTTGTTGTACATCGGCTTCAATATATTTTTCATGTAATTCCTGAAACGCAACGAATGATGGGTGATTTCCCTCCTTGAAACTGTAGAAATTTAGCTTGTCATACCTCACTTTAGCCAGCTTCGACTCTGGTTCGTTGCCAAAATATCCGAGTATTGAATTGAACCCAGATATTATCTCTCCCACTCATCCACGGTAGTATGTCCTACAAAAACTTTTCGAAACGTATGAGAACTTCCGAGTTCATTTGAGGAAAGAGACAAAACCTCTTCTTTCACAGCGTATTCGAGCAAATCGAATACCATCTCATACTGTAGTTCGTCAATGATCGCCGCTGCAAACGCATCGCTTATGATCGCGTTTCTGGTTCTTGGTATTTTAGAAACAATATCACGAACCTCACTCTACTTCAGCGAAAGTAGATGAAGAAGGAAAAGTGTGAATATTTGAGATCAGTTTGAAATATCCGTTCTTGTAGATAAAAAAATTATTGACGTAGGTAAAAGATGGTGTAGTCTTGCCTGGGAGCGTAAGGGGCGAAACAGAAGTGAGAGCTCTTCTGTGGCTGTATGGGATCGTCGCTAGCATCACTAGACACTTTGGTAAAGGTTAGAATATAAATAGAGGCGTAAAGCAAATGAAATTAGCAATTAAGCAAAAGATCAATGTTGCTAAATCCATAGAAATGGTATTTTTTCAGTTCCACTACCTTTCATTTATGTCCAAATATTCATATCTGAGTAAGCTTCTTTTCAGCGATGGTCCAACTCTGTAGTGGAAATTCAAGAGACAATAAGATAAAATAAGTATAAGAAGTGAAACGGAATTATCACGACCAATGAGAAGAAATTATCGGCAACTTGGGAGTTATTCATTCCGGAATACTATATTGAGAAAATGCTCATTTCATAAGACTCACATAAAAAGAGTATAAGTGAATACCTTATGATCCTTATTGAATTGTCCTATGATTTTCTTCCAACCATCGCTATCATAGTTCTGCCGGTAGAATCCGTGCCGATCAGCATTCACCACAATGGGTTTATCAGTATTTCTCACGTGCAAATACAGCGGTTGTTCTGCAAAATGAGATGACCATCAGATATACCCAATCAAGCCCAATCGAAACCATTCACAATACACTACAACAAAACAGTGTACTTCAATTCATTATTGTACTCCAGGCGCTGTTTAGTGTTTTGCGGACTATTCCAGCGCCATGCTCTTCAAATAAGAGCACTAGCTCGATCGTTTTCCTCCTCTGCATTGACGTTTTCCCTTTTCTGACTTTCATGATGCGCACTATTTTCAGCAACTACTTTGCGTGACTTACTCTTCGTTTCAGAGTTTTGCTTAGAATGCAGATGAGAAAAATGCAGCAAAGTGACACCTACCTCTTGGCAACCAGGTTCGCTTTACATCCTTGACGTCGTGCTCCTGATACCAAAGAGGAACATCCCACTTGAATCTGCAAACACTAACAGTTGCGAAAGAAAATGAGAAAACTGGAGGATCCAACTCAACCAGTTAGTTACGTGAGAACAGAAAAACCTCAGAGATAGTGCTGACCCGTATTTCGGATTGCTATACTTTTCTGGCTCCTGAGCATCTTTATTCTTCTTGTAACGATTTTGCGTTACTTTCAACGTCGTTGCATTGAGAGTTTCTACAGTAACCACTGGGTAACCCATCTGAAATAGACGCTAATAACCTTCGAGGAGACATTTATAGAAGTCTTTGTGCCATATTAGCATGTACATATTGTCATAATGATGATGGGACTTCGCGTAGGCTTGGGATAAGAAGAGACCATCAGATTTGGTGGACAAATAAAGAGCACATTCTAAACTCAGAAAACGGCATATGCCATAAAGAAGCACAAGGACCCCATCAAATGCCTCTAAACACTTTAATTTTATCAGAACCAATGAAAGCATTTACTACCTGAGTCGTCCACTGATATGCGACACTCGTGTTTTTCAAGATTGATTAGCCGTCGGGGCCCCCTCCCCCCCTACACCGTTGTGACCACTTCATCAGAAAACTTCCCCACAAGATCGGAAGCTTGTGGCGTTGCTGATATCGAAATACTGGTGTGTGTGAGGTACCGCTGAAAACAATCCTATCAGATTGCACTGCGTATGATTAGTTTTCTCAAGATTAGAAAACTTGGCGGTGTTGAGGAGCACCATTCACATACGACAGAACTCAGCGGGGAGCTGTGTAGGAAGCTAGGAACGATACCACCCTCGCCCAGAAAACGTCAGGAGCCGGTCGCCTTCGAAGGTCAAATGAAAAAAAACTTGCAGGTCATATTTCTAGAGCTGAAACCGATAGAGGGATATCACTCTTAAGAAGGGCTCAAATCAAGGTGCACGACAACAAGAAATCTTCACTTTTCAGCAAAAGCTGTATGGTCCACACGATCCAGGTAAATATAGCTTACCGTAATAGCTTGTTTGAAGTTTTCCTCGCCAATCAAAGCCTTCAGCATTGTGAGCACTGAACCTCCTTTAGCGTATGTAATTGAGTCGAACGCTTCAGACACTTCCGCAGCTTTGTCTACCCTGAAGGAGAGTGGATGGCTGGAAGCCACCGCGTCAGCTTCCAGTGCTTCTTCGAGAGCGGCAACAAGGAACTGGTCGTTCTGGAATAAATTAGTTTGTTTCCAATTCCTCATAATTATCAGGACACGCGTGCATTGGGGATCTTCAGCGAGAGGGTTGAGGTCGCAGGAGAAAGGAAGGTCGTATTGCAAAAGGTGATTATTTTTCCCCGGCTTTCCCAATTTGGAATCCCTCGTCCTGCTCAACGCCTTTTTTCTGAGGAGAATTTCTTGGAAAAGTAGGACTGGCAGGAAGCTGGGAAAATGATATTACGAGAAGGGGAGGGAGAGGGGAAGAGGGAGTTTCGCAGCATTTTCCAACGGCTGGACCTAACTCGGGTATATT